AAAAAAAAAAAAAAAAAAAAATACAAAGGAAAGGGAAGAGGACTAAAACTCGATGAATCGTTGACAGAGTCTAACGAAAGGAATGAAGAGAAAATAAGGAAATTACTGATTTAAGGAATCAGTTGATTCAGGGTGAAGAGAGTGAAAGACTGAAGAGGATGAATAAATGAAAGAAAGGGAAATAAAGATAGGATGAAGAAATTGATTTCGATGGAGCTCGTGCCAAACTTTAATTGCGAAAATTGGCCCGCGGAATCTCTTGCCTACTGTTCGAAAGAAGAGAGAAAAGAAGAAGAATAGACAAAGAATATTTCCGGCAGAACGTAGCGGGCCGGTCAAAAATTCTCACGGTCGCGTCGCGGCGTTTTGCGCGGAATCATCGCGAAAAACATAAAAATAGCCGTAGAGGATAGGAAAGAAAGAAAAAAAAAAGAGAGAAAGAAAAAAAAAAAGTATCATCCTTGCGTGTCGGAGGGGGCTTGAGGTCGCCGAGGAGTCGAGGAGTCGAAGAGCAACGCGGCCGAGGAACCGAGCCCAGGCACACACGATGTGCGCCGCGTATAAGTCAGCACTCAGGATATTTCGTCATTTCCTGCTTCTCACGCGATACAATCTAAATTAACTATGTTCGCTTGGCTAGGCCTCCTCCCTCGCAGAGAGGCTCGCATCTCTCAAGAAAATTTCTTATTTCCTAGCGAGGAGGGCACACGGTCGCCGCCGTGAAACCCGCAGCGAGGAGAGCGACCCCTCTCGACTAACGCGGCATCGCGATCGTTACGACGACGCTCGAAGGAAAAAGGAAAAAAGAGAAACTAAAAAGAAAAATAATTAAATAAATAAATAAAAAGCGTACGCAGGAGAGAAATATTTAGATATATACCGTGTCGGCGCTGATGAAAATGACATAGGTATGCACAATGTGGAGGGGAGCGTTTGGGAAAACCTCGCCAGATATAATGAATTATGCGTGACGAATTGCAGAGCTGCATAGAGCTCGGATAATGGAGGAAGTTTAACGAGAATGATTAAAAGTACAGGTAAAGAAATGACGTTGGGGTGGGGGGAGGGGAGAAGAATTGGAATAATGGTTTTAAATCAAAGTTCAGTGGTTTGAGATCTGAAATGCAACATTGTAGTAATGTAGCATAGTACAGTCTCGGTTGTAAGTAACTTTGCGAACTTTTACATGCAATTTCATACTTTTCTGAACGGAATTGCAGAAATGAAGAGTAAGTAGAAACTTCTTTCGGCTGCTAACGACGAACCTTGTAATAAGTACTCTTTTTTTTTTTTAGATATTTTATACATTTTATACTTCGATTTCTCACAAACGCAAAATATTCGTGCGCACGTTAAAACATTTCGAATATATATTTATTGTTTTATTAATTTATCAATGTCTATTGTTAAATAATGTATTTTCGGAATTTTACGGTTGAGAACATTGAAGAATAAAGTTTATTTAGCGCCGATTGTTGCCAGAGAAATATCCGTTGTAACGTTAACACAAAAACTCCAAATGATGCTAATTGCGTTTTATCCTTTTTCCACATCTCCCTAATAAATCATGATCATTTCGGACAGACAATGAGAATGGATTCAGTTCATCGCGATTCCGCCAGCTTTTCTATCTTTTCAATTTAGAAAAACGTTTCATATAGTATCTTTTTATTGCAACAATATTTTTTAAATAAAAACTTTCGGAAATTAAATACTCACTGTAACAGAAGAAATTATTATTTTAGAACGATCTCAACGATGATTTGAATTTTATTATAATTCGTTTGTATTAATATTCTGTGAATTACATTATTGTTCGTGGCCGTAAATAGTTTTTATCTACATCACAGAAATAAGAACGTAACCTTATTTACATATTTTCCGGTGCATAAATTACATACATACGAGATTAATTTCCTACTGACGTTACTTTTACTAATTAATATAAGAGATCATGCGAGCAGGTTTTAAAGTTTAAATATTTCAAATTTTTTACTTTGAACACAAAACCATTATATCGACAAGCCATCTTCAACACTTACGTGTTTCTAAATATACATTTTCAGATTCGTCTCGATTTTTTTCTAACGTAAAATTATGACAGTCGTCATACATGTATACACGTAATATACCTAAACACGCGAAGGTTCCTTGCCAATTCGAGTTCGTGTTAAAACACTTCTTCGGGACCAAGGATGGCAGAGTCGACGAACAATGACGAACGAAAACAATCGAAGAACGGTAATCGAAGGAACGAAGTGATCGATGAAAGTCGGTAGATCAGATAAAGAATCAACGACGTGATTTCAATGGGACACATCGCGACGACGATACTAATAACGAGAGAACAAGGCGAATGATTGAAACGACGACGACGACGACGACGACGACGAAAGTTTCAAAAGGGGGGCGAAGACCCGAGCGCCTGCTTTCACAAACAGGCACGTAAATAATTCACCTGGAAAATCCAGCTTAAACGCTCGCGCGGCCGGAAGAGGCTCGCTAAGGTGTTCCGCACATGCGTCGGGGAGGAATTTCTTGGAAAGGAACCCAGGTCGTTTGGTGGACTTTACTCGGCCGTTTGTTACATCGGCTGCGACGTTTCAAGAAACCGCGGCGTTGCAGATTCTAATTCGTCGCGTTTCACCTCGGGGGAGAGGTTGCGCGCGCGTTACGGTTTGAAGGAGGTGCGTGCGTCGGAGGAAGTAGGGCGTAAAATACCATGAACTTTGAACCGTGCGTTTTCGAGGGGAAATGGAGTGAAGAAAACCGCGCGGAGAAACATTGAACGCGGCGAGAGTTCTCTCGTTCGAGACGAATGAATTTTATCGACAAAAGGATCGAGAAATTTCGATGATAATATTTCGGTATTAATACGTCGCCATTTTTGGGGCCAAAATTACCGTAAGATAAATCAATGCAAGGAGTAGAGCACGATTAACTTTTTCATACAATGTTAAAGTCAGGTTTTCAACCTCGATCGAATTCTGTTTTATAAAATATCCTACAATATTTATCGGTATCTTATTTGATGTTAAAATAAATTCGATTAATAAAAAATAAGGACTGAATTATATCATCTCAACAACTTTATATTACTATATAAATATAAAAAATTTAATAAGCGTACATAGAATTCTAGTGTATCGAAATTTCAGAATTCGTCCAAGCATAATGATTGAAATATTAAAGTAACAAAACTAAATATTTGCTTATCAACGTTTGCCATTAAAAATTTAATACTGCCAATCCACATTGATGAAAAACAAGAGGCTATATCAATATCATAATTAATTAGTTAATATTAAAAAAATTACTAAAATATTAAGAATACAAAATAGAATGTATTTGACATTTTTTTATACTTATTACCATCACCTTTGTATTTGATCAAAATTATATTCAATACTTAATACTAAATAACTACATTGTTGTCATTTTAAAGTCATATCGCTTCAATTTATTCAACGTATATACAATACACAATACATATATCAATACATTATATAATATACAATATACGTTATACGATACATCTCGGTATTGAAAAATTTACTTTTTGTCGTAAGTATTTCGACGGAATTTACCACTGCGCGCCAACCAGAGATATTTGACTGGTGTCTGACCAGTGATGGACCATATCACTGGCCGCGCGCGGTCCATCAACTCCATCAACTGGCGTCCTCTTCAAACACTACGAAAATGATCGACACATCACGCCCGAAGGTCACGAAGATCATGTCCCGTGGTCGATCGAGCGGATTCACCTGGGTACCAAGAGATTCGCCACGCGGTGAAGATGCGATCTCGAAAACCGATCGGCACTTCCTCGAGTATTTAAGATCAGGAAGCGGAGGGTGAACTTTAAAGAACATGCAAGGCGAACAGAAGAAAGGAGATGATATCGTGGCGCGCGGAAATGTTATGGCGTGCAAGGAACACGCGAAGAAGGTGTAAATGACCACGGCGGGTGAACGCAGGAGAAGAAGAAAAGCAACGACACGGTGCACTGCGTTGCCGCGGCGACGATCCTTTTTTTTTTTTCTTTTTACGGCTGAATGCTTGCTGACGTAATTCGACTTTCTCTGTGAGAACGAATTTCACGAACCCAGACCTCTCCCCCCGAGGGGGCTCTCGAACCGAGAATAATGCCACAGCCGTGTACGTTCGCCTAACGTTCTTTCTCTCCTCGAAACTTCAGAGT